CCCCCCCCCCCCACCTTCCTCTTCTGGGATTCCTATGATACAGATATTGTTCCGTTTGATTGTATCACCAAGCTCTCGAACTCTTTCATATTCCTGGATCAATTTATCTCTCTTTTTCTCAGTTTCTTCTTTTTCTATAATAGTGTCTTCTAAATCACTTATTCTCCTTTCTGCCTCTTCAATCCGTGCATTGGACGCCTCCAATTTATTATGTATCTCATTTATCGCATTTTTTAATTCACCATAACTATTTTTAAGCTCCATATTGTTTGTAGCCATAGTTTCTCTGATGTCCTCCATGCTTTTTTCAAACCTGGCGATTAATTTTATGATTATTGTTCTAAGTTCTTGTTCAGTTATGTTGCTTATATATGTTTTGAGCAGTTCTCTAGCTGTCATTTCTTCCTGGAGTTTCTTTGGAGGAATGTTCTTCCGTTTCGTCATTTTGGTTAGCTTTCTATCTCTTGTTACTTGTAAAAGCTTGTTTTACACTCGGCTCCTGCGAGTTCTGCTGTATTAGAGAGGGGCTCTTTTGACTGTTCAGGGCCTGTCTGTTCAGGAAGTGTTCTTTGGAAGGTGTCTCTTGGTTTCTCTTGTTGAGCATTCCGTTATTTTGTTTCCCTACTGGTAGTGGTATTGGGACTCTCCACCATGTGTAGTTTGGCTTGTTTCTTGAGGCAGCCCTGGAAAAAGAAAACAGAAACCACAGAGGGAACACAGGTACACCAGCGCACAGACAAAACCAGTAAACACGCAAACCCAGGCTCAGGTAAAAACAGCTACAACAACAACAAAACAACTATCTGGAGGGGATCGGCGTGGTTTGTGTAGGCAGGCCTTGTCTCCACTGCGTCCCCTGGTCTCCCTGAGGCCCCGCCTTAGTGATTGTGGGGAGAAGAATGGCGTCGCCCCAGTCCCTTCTCAACCAAGTGTTGCAAATCACTTCTTCAGGTCCGATCTCCCTGTGCTGAGGATGTAGCCAAGGTGGGCTGAGTTCTATGCCCCACGCTCTGCCTCATTTCCAGGTCTCGGTCTCAGTCCGCGGGCTTTGTTATACCGCCCTGACCAGTCCCGCAGGTCGCTGCTTACCTGTTGCTGGGGGTTGAGTGGGGGGTGGGGGAAGTGTCGCAACCTCAGGTCCGCTGGGGTCAAGCAGCGATACAGCCCGAGTGCGTTTGGGGAACGTAGCAACTTGAGGTCCGCAGAGTCCGCGTCACCTCAGCGCCGCCGCTGTTTCACTGGGTCGCTGCCGCTGCCGTGCGCGCCGCTGCCGCTTCCCCCGGCACCGGGACCGCCTCCGCAGGCGTTGCTGCGGGTTCACTGGGCCGCCGCCGCCGCCATGGATGGTGCCGGGCGCGCGGCAGTTCAGTTTTTCCTGGAGCCTTCTGCGACCAGGGCACCTGGTTTAAAGTCAGCACCCCAGCCAGAGCTTAAAAACACTGTCTTTTCCAAGCTGAGGGTTTGTTTTTTTTTTCCTGTCCTCCAGGGATGGTTCTATGAGCAGTCTCAGCTTTTCTTTCCTTTCCCCTGGGCTCACAGCAGCTCGCCACCGCTTGCCAGTTAATCACTCACCGCAGTTGCACACAAGCCGGGTTCCCTCCCCTCCCTCCGTATCTCTGCGTCCCGTCCCGCATTTATCTTCCCCAGTTCGCACTCACGCTCTTATGAGGTTTCCTTCCCAGTGTGCTCTGTCTCTCTCTCTTCCCAAACTCCTGTGGCTCAGTGTCCTACGACTTCAGGCCTTCTCTGTTTGAGAGATGGGTGCAGGCGAAATGTACGGAGCTCCCTACTTCTCCGCCATCTTGCCCCCTTCCTCCAGGGGAATGGTTTCTAACCCGGAGTGCAGCCGCTTCACCTGACCGCGTTCTCTAGGTGGGAGCGCCTCGGAGTTAAAGTTCACCTACGAAGCATCCAGGCGATGCTGACTGTACTGCCGAGTGCTAAGGACAACATCGCACAGACAGTACTTCCGAGACGTTCAAACCCTTTCACAGTAAGGGACTCCCTATTCTAGCAGACGTTGAAGGAGTCAGACCTCTGTTGGGCAGCGGGGGGGCCATACTGGCGCTTCCGAGCCGTCTTGTTACCTTTTTACTGGTGGGAGTTGAGACAGCACGTTGTGGGGCAGTGACTTTCTAGGCAGACAGCCCTGTTAAGTCGTGTCGTCTGCTGTTAGTAACACGCAGGTGCCCCTCGCCGTCCAGACTTGTGGTGCCTGAAGTCGGGAGCTGAGCTGTGGCCGCGGGGCTTTGTGTTCAGTGCGCTCGGGTTTGCTCCGGAGAACCCAGCCGTCCGCTTCCAGAGAGTGCCAGTTGACTTACGGCACTTACAGGAAACAAACCCTGTTGTAAAGTGTTTCACCATCCTCTGATTTGCTCCCCGTGTAGGTCTGAAAGCCCTGGCTCTTCTTGGGGTACTGCCAGATGGAGACGCGAGGCCGGAAAGTCAGGCCCCGCCCGCCGCTGTGCCCACTCGCACACCAGAGGAGGAGACAGCGATCCGGGTTGCTGAGGACGCGTCACATACAGGCCCTTCTGTGCACGGCAGCGTACGTCCCAGTTCGTTACTGTGCACGATATCAGGGTGAAAGGGGGGCCGTTCTCCACTGGGAGCTGAGCAGAGAGGTTACGGCCACAGACTGTCTTGACCCAGATTTCCCGGGTTCCAGCCCCTGCGCTGTCCGATCCCGGGCACCTTACCACAGCGTGTCCACTTCACATTCTCATCTGTAAGATGGAGCGAGAATGATAAAACCTGTTTCCTGGGGTTGTTCTGAGCACTTACACACATTACACAGTGAGCTACTGTGTGTGAGGTGCTGCTGGCGGTGTTCACAGCCTGTTCCGTGTGTTAGTGGCTCCTGTTATCTGCCTTCCGGCGGGTTCACAACGGTAGAAGGTCACGCACAGAAAGGGACTCGGTCCTGCCCCTGGCGAGCACCGCGCGTGTGAAGCGGCATGCACAGCCGCCAGCAGACGGAGCATGAAGTGCTTCCTGTTTACCAGGCAGACCCGGTAGTTCACATACACCCACCTCAGCTGGGGGAGCCTCTGGGTGCATGCGGAGCCAGCGACTGCAGTCTGAAAGATGGGTCTGTGGAAGAGCACAGCACACCTGCGACGCTGCCTCCGAGGCTTGAGCTGGGGCTGTGAGTGCCCTTGACTTTGCCTCAGGAGCTGCTGGTGTTTCCGTCCTCTCAGCCTCACTCACTAGTTCAGGGATCCACCGTTTGGTGGTTTTGGCTCACCGTGACCCCATTCATTGTCCTTTAGAGGAAGTCAGAAGTAAAGATGGCTGGCGGAAACCTGAGAGTTTAGTCGGCTCGTCTCAGCCAGGGAGCCAGCACGAGACAGGTGACGGACGCCTCAGACTGGTCTCTGACGTGCCAACGTTTCTGACCACACAACTCCAGGCCGCATTTCAGCCACCCACAGGTGGTGGCGGGGCAGAGAGCGCGTCGTCAGCAGGGACAGCCCCCACCCGGAGCCAGGGGCCGTTGTGTCCTCCTGTGGGCTCACAGCGTCTCAGGACAGGCTGCCCAGGAGCACTTTGCTCCCTGTGTGTCCGCCTGTGCCTTTATTCTCATCAGAATGGCCTGGGTGACTTTTTTCATTCAGCAGATTAAATGCTATTGTTCTGGGGGAGCCTGGGCAGCTCAGTGTGTAGACTGTGTGAGTCTTGATCTCAGGTTGTATGTCCGAGCCCTACGTTGGGTGTAGAGTTTACTTAAAATCTATTATTTTTCGTTATGTTACTTGATGCCCCAATTGGCCCGCGGAAGCCTCTTGCTGCCGGCTTCTGTGTCCGGCTGACACGCCTTTGTCTCTGAGCACTTCCTTAATTTTTGTTGCAGAAAGAGGTGTCAGGCTCATCTTTGAGACTTTCTCTGGCCCAGGGGAAAAAGCCTCAGGAAACACAGGTCAAGGGCCGTCATCCTGCCAATCTAGGCAGCTCGCTGCCCGACTCTTGAGCCCAGGAAAGCCTCCCTGCTCCAGCACGAGCCCCTTTAACAAGACTCCTTACCAAAAGGAAATACTCAGAAGCGTAAGCTCGGTGTTCTAGACGAACACTTTGTTTTTTTCCTTCTTCCCAAGAGAAGAACTTTCTGTAAGCGGCCTCTAAAAGCTAAGTTAGAGTGGGGGCGTCTGAGTGTCCCAGATGGTTAAGCACCCGACCCTTGACTACAGCTCAGATCATGATCTCACAGTTCATGAGGTCAAGCCCTGAGTCAGCCTCTGCTGACAGTGTAGAACCTGTTTGGGATTCTGTCTCCTTCCCTCTCTGCCCCTCCCCCACTTGCCTGTGCTCTCTTCTCTCTCTCTCTCAAAATACATAAAAATAAACTTTAAAAAACTAAGTTAAATGTACTAGAGGTTGGTAGTGTGGCCATTGCTAATGGGACTGTGGGTTCTGATGCAAGGGCATTTGGGAGACGGTTGGGGGATAGGTTGCAGTGATTACTGTCTTAATTAGAGCACAGATTTATCATCAGAAATGAGGCACATTTTCTTAAGGAATTCAGAAATATTTAAGTCCATAAAGACTGGCTAATGATTTTAAAAATTGAATTGTATTACAACACAATTGAGCAAACTTTAAAAATTTTTTTGAAGCAGGAGAGGGCAAAGGGAGAGGGAGAGAGAGAGGATCCCAAGCAGGCTGCACACCCGGCACAGAGCCCGACATGGGGATCGATCCCAAGAGTCGGACACTTAACCGACTGAGCTGCCCAGGCACACCAAGGGAGCAGACTTCTGTTAGAAGAAACTTTTATTCTTCTGTGTTTTGTTTTCAGGGTAAGAGAGATGGTCACAAGAAGGTCAGACCCCTCGACTGCAAACAGAGGAGTGAGGCAGACGAAGGTGCATCAATAGTGAAGGGTCCTTCATGCCAGACTCAGGCTTCAGACTCGCCTGCAGATGGTAGCACACCCGGAGGGCTTCCAGGTAAAGATTCTTTGATCATGACCTTGGTCTCCTTTACATTAAATGCCCACAGACTCATCCCTGAGCTGTTTGTTGCACACAGTTTGAAACTGGCTAGCAACCAAGGGCACACGGTTTCTCATTTTGTGTCAGACGGTACCGCTAACCCTTTGCCTGCCTTCCTACTCGGTTCTTCCCTAATTACAGAGGGCCTTCCGTATGCCGAGCCCTGTGCTAGACTGTGGAGATGCGACAGGGACGAAGTCAGACGAACACATAGGTCCCTGACGTGGAGCCTGCGGTCTGGGAGGCTGTAGACCACACGGTATAGGTGACCGTAATTGGACGTGAGACGTGACTCCGTCCAGAAGAGAGGTGTGAAGCCTCGTAAAGGTCAGGCAGCGAGAGACCTCAGCCGTGCTAGGACCTGCTGTGGGGGGGACTTGAGGCGGCAGCACAGGCCGCAGAGTGGGAGCCGCCGGTCGGCTGCCCGGGAGAGTCCCACCAGCAGGTGTGCGGGGGTGGAGGACGGCATGTGTCTCACTGCCCAGCTCTGTGATGGAGGCAGCAGGGAGCACAGGGCGTCCCGCCCGTCCGTGAGGCCAGCTCTCAGCAGGGGCTGGTGAGCCATCTTTGCAGTGCAACAGGCTGACGCCCCTCGTTGGCCCAGCCCTTCTCTGGTCTGCACAAGCGCCAGCGTCCTGGTCCACGTATAGTTTATTCATCCATCAAGCATTCTCTGAGCACCTGCTATCCTCCAGAAACATTTCTAGGTGCTTATGATACACTAGGTGCTGAAGAACAGCAAGAGTCTAGAAGGGAAGACAGATGATAAATACCAGTGATTTGGTATGTTGGGAGGTACTTAGCGTGAGCACAGACCAGCAGGGTCAGGGGAACGGCGGCGACTGCAGAGGCCACTGGGGGGTGAGCAGGAGTGTGCAGCAGAGTCCCAGTTTCGTTCTCCAGCAGCCCAGGGACGGTGCAGCAGCTTACCTGCTGTTTGTATGTGCACAGAACCTGGCAAGATCTGAAAGTTTGATGTTTTACAACTCAGATGCCGACAGTTCAGTCATGCCATCTCAGAAGCCCCGCGAGGAGAAGGCAGTTACTCCCAGCCCCGAGCAGGTGTTTGCTGAGTGTTCCCAGAAGAGGATTTTGGGATTACTGGCAGCTATGTTACCTCCCTTAAAGTTGGTAAGAGACAAATGGTACTCTCTTTTCTGGAAGAGGGGTGGTAGATTATGTGGGAGAAAACCACCTGTTAAGAGCAACATCCCTGTGTCCCTGAGAGTAGCATGTTGTTATTATTCTTGGAAGTGGGATCGTAAGATGATACCTGAAGGGGAGCCTGGCTCAGTCGGATAAATCTCCGACTTTGGCTCGGCTCATGATCTCACAGTTCGTGAGTTCAAGCCCCACGTCGGGCTCTCTGCTGTCAGCACAGAGCCCCCTTCAAAGCTGCTGTCCCCTTCTCCCTCCGCCCTTCCCCCACTGGTTCTCTCACACTCTCTCAAAATAGATAAATAAACTTGAAAAAAGATGGTACCCGAGAATGTCGTTTCACAGCTGGTTGTGCAGAGCTGTCCATGAAAGGCATGGTCCCTGTGCACGAGGCAGTTGTACCTCAGACCCACGTGAGGGGCACGTGAGGGGCACCGTGTTCAGCCGGTGGGTCACATGCGTTGCGTGGTGACCAGCGTCTCTCTCTCTCTCGGCAGGGCCCCGCCGTCCCTGTGGTAGACCTGGAGCGCGCCCTCCCACTCATGTTTCAGGTCGTCCTCGCGAACGCGGGCCACCTGAACGAAACCTACCACCTCACGCTGGGCCTTCTCGGCCAGTTAGTCTCCCGCCTCTGGCCAGCAGAGGTGGACGCCGCGGTGGTGAAGGTCCTCTCCGCCAAGCACACCTTGTTCGCAGCAGGGGACAGTCCCGTCGTGCCAGATGGCTGGAAGACCACCCACCTGCTCGTCAGCCTGGGAGCCGTGTGTCTGGACAGGTAGCCCCCGCAGCCTGTCCCGGCTCGCTGTGCGTTTCCTCAAGTCCGTGGCCCGGCCCTTGACTCCTTCCAATGTGCTGTGGTCCAGGAATCTCCTGAGAGAATAGAATTCGTTTTATTAGAAATGGGGTCAACTGACATTCAAATTGTCCTTAAAACTGACATTAAGACAGCTGTAGGGTCTTGGCACTGTCTGCTGATTCAACTTTCTGATGATACATATAGATTCTGGTTGATTTTCCCTGACAGCAATAAGTCTAGGCTTCGGGGTTGAAGCAAATAGGTCTGTTTTTATTATAAGAGTAATAGTCACAGTACCAAATTTGGAAAACAAAAATGGAGAAAAAAATCACCCCAGCTGTACTATTTTAATGCATCTGGTACTGTTTCAATGTATTTCCTTCTGAGCTTTTTTTTTTTCCCTGTGTATAAACATGAGTGTGCACAAGTGCACGTGAATGTGTGACTTTTTTATAGACATTTATTTTTAAACGTAGCCGTAGACTGAGCGTATAGGTAACAGGCGTCATTCGGGTAGTTTTTAACCTAACAGGTGAGTGGTTCTTGGGCTGCATCTGCCTGGGAGCGTAGTGAGCTCTGCTGAGTTGAGTTTCGAGCCTGCACCCCCTGATGGAGCTCTCGCCTTCCAGCCGCGTAGGTTTGGACTGGGCCTGCTCCATGGCGGAGATCCTGCGGTCCCTCAACAGCGCCCCCCTGTGGCGTGACGTCATCGCCACGTTCACGGACCACTGCATCAAGCAGCTGCCTTTCCAGCTGAAGCACACCAACATCTTCACCCTGCTCGTGCTGGTCGGCTTCCCCCAGGTACGTCGCTCTGGAGGTCGGGCCACGTCTTCCATCCTCCTCACACCCAGCAGGGTCTCTGCTACATGTGACCTTGAGAGTTTCTTACCTTCAGTTACATAATTTGCATTTACAGGATTGGTAGATTTTTAGATTATGGGATGGTCTGTTCTGCATTTTTTTTTTTTTTATTTAAAAAAAATTTTTTTAATGTGTTTTGTTTTGTGCTTTTTTTTTAATTTCTGAGAGAGAGAGGCAGTGTGATCGGGGGATGGTCAGAGAGAGAGGGAGACACAGAATCCGAAGCAGCTCCAGGCTCTGAGCTGGCTGTCAGCACAGAGCCCATCGCGGGGCTTGAACCCACGAACTGTGAGATCATGACCTGAGCCAAAGTCGGACACTTAACCGACTGAGCCACCCAGGCGCCCCTCTACTGCTTTTTTAACAGGTTAGCCATTTGACTCATTTATGAGCCAGTAGCTGGCTTTGACTAGCAGGTAACTAACAGCAGTTACAGAGAACTTCAGAGTAGTTGTTTCTCACGTGGCCATTCACCTTGATCTCCTTTCTGATGGTCAAGGCTTGCAGGCACTGGGACAAGGGGACTGTGAAAACATGGCTTCCTCCAGCAAGCACGGAAGCCGCTTCTGTGCCGGGCCCTGGGCTTAGGAGAGCCCGTCCTAGAGGGACAGGCTGGGGCCTGTGTCCCGTTACGGGCCTGCGCCTGCCTCTGTGTGCTCCTGAGCTGCCTTCTCGATCTCTGTCCTGTTCTAGGTCCTCTGTGTGGGGACCCGGTGTGTATATGTGGATAATGCCAATGAACCACATAATGTGATCATCTTGAAGCACTTTACTGAGAAGAACAGGGCTGTGGTCGTCGATGTCAAAACCCGGAAAAGGAAAACAGGTCCCAAGCATTCTTTTTTCTTTCTTTTTTTTTTTTTTTTTTTTTTTATTAATTTTTTAAAATTTATATCCAAGTTAGTTAGCGTATAGTGTAACAACGATTTCAAGAACAGATTCCTTAATGCCCTTCACCCATGTAGCCCATCCCCCTCCAGCAACCCTGTTTGCTCTCCGTATTTAAGGGTCCCTTATGTTTTTGTCCCCCTCCCTGTTTTTATGGTATTTTTGCTTCCTTTCCCTTATGTTCATCGGTTTTGTGTCTTAAAGTCCTCATATGAGTGAAGTCATATGATATTTGTCTCTGCCTAATTTCGCTTAGCATGATACCCTCTAGTTCCATCCACGTACTTGCAAATGGCAAGATTTCCTTCTTTTTGATGGCCGAGTAACACTCCACCTCTTCTTTATCCATTCATCCATCGATGGACATTTGGGCTCTTTCCATACTTTGCTTATTGTCGATAGAGCGGCTGTAAACACTGGGGTGCATGTGTCCCTTTGAAACAGCACACCTGTATCCCTTGGATAAATACCCAGTATTGCAATTGCTGGGTCGTAGGGTAGTTCTATTTTTAATTTTGGGGGGAACCTCCATACTGTTTTCCAGAGTGGCAGTTTGCATTCCCACCAGCAGTGCAAAAGAGTTCCTCTTTCTCCACATCCTCACCAGCGTCTGCTGTTGCCTGACTTCTTGATTTTAGCATATTTTTTCTAAGAACGAAAGGAAGTTGTCCAACCTCTGCACACTCTGAAGCCAGCGAAGATACTTGGTTCTTGCCCCTGTATATGGGTTTTTAAACAAGTTGTGAGTCCCTGAGCTGCTTTTTCTTCATCTCTGAGGAGATGTGGTTGAATTAGGGTAAAAAAATTTTTTAAGTCTATTTATTTATTTTGAGAGAGACAGAGAGAATGTAAGCAGAGGAGGGGCAGAGAGAGAGAATCCTAAGCTGGCTTTGCATGGTCAGAGCACAGAGCTGACGCAGGGCTCATGCTCACAGAACTGTGAGATCATGACCTGAGCCGAAATCAAGTCAGACACTTAACTGAGCCCCCCACACGCCCTGAATTCGGGTGAATCTGAAGGCCCTTGCCATGCTGTTATTTTGTGGATACGGCTCTGTGTTTTTGGTGGGACACGTTTAGGTTCTGAATATGTAATTTTTCCTTTTGCCAGAGTCCTTGATTTTCTAGTGGGTCATTTAAATAGATTGTGGAGTCGGATGGCTGAATGAGTGTGAAATAACTTTGACTAAGTGTGTTGACATTCACATCACTTTCCGTTTCACTCCATCAGTAGAAGACTGTGGAAACATATCCTGAGTGACCTTTGATTTAGTTTGCCGAACCCTAAACAGCCTGCAAACTCTGGAGTATTGTAACCGCTCTGTGCCAGGTTCTGCTTCTGAAGTAACACACTTTCTCATTCAGCTTCAGCACTGGCTGTGCTACCTTTGTGTGTGGTGTGAGGTAAAGGTCAAGGTTCTCGTTCTTTATCCTTTTCTTTTTTCTTTTTTGCTTATTAACATCCAGTTGTTTTATGATCATTTGTTGAACAGACTTCTCCACGGAATTATTCTGACATCTTTGTTGGAGACTGGTTGACCCACGTGTCTGTTGCCGTTTATTGGTTATGTCTTATTCCATTAATCTATGTATTTGGCTTTGCTCAAATACTGTACTCTCGTGACTTTTGTAGATTTATGCTAAGTCTGAAATCAGGTCCTCCAGCTTCGTTATTCTTTTGTCAGCATTGTTTTGGGTAGTCTAGTTCCTTGCCTTTCTGTATAAACTTTATTTTTTAATTTTTTAATATTTTACTCATTACATACAGAGAGAGAGAGAGAGAGAGACAGCGTGAGCAGGGGAGGGTCAGAGAGAGAGGGAGACATAGAATCTGAAACAGGCTCCAGGCTCGGAGCTGTCAGCACACGTCGAACACGTCAAACCCACGAACTGTGAGATCATGACCTGAGCCAAAGTCGGACACTTAACCCACTGAGCCACCCAGGCGCCCCTAAATTTTAGATTCAGCCTGTCAGTTTCTCTTAAATAACCATTGAATCTGCATATCCATTTAGGGAAAACTGACATGTTAACGTGACACATGAGCACTGTATACCTCTCCATTTATTCAGGGAACAGTTTGAGGTCTCTGAGCTCTCTTCATGGCACAGCTGACTTCTCTTATTCCTGATTTTGATAATTTGTGTCTTCTCTTGTTTGTTTCCTAAAGTGTCTCGTCAGAGCTTGATCGATGTTATTTGATCTTTTCAAAGGACTAACTTTTGGTTTCATTGATTTTTTTTTCTCTTATTTTTCTGTTTTCTGCTTCGTTGATTTCTGTCTTTGTCATCATTAATTTCTTACTTCTTGCTTTGGGCTTAATTTGCTTCTTTTTTCTTGCTCTAATTTTTTTTCTTGCTCTAATTGCTTAGGATGGAAGTCTAAGTCACTGATTTGAGATTTTTGTTATTTGTTGACTGAAGCATTTTAATGCTGTGAATTTTCCTCTAGGTATAGCATTAGCTGCATCCATAATTTTTTATATAATTGTCATATTCATTCGGGTCATTACAATAGAATATTTTCTATTTATCATAAAACTTTTTATTTATAGATTGCTTAAGAATGTATTGTTGAATTTGCAAATATTTGGGGCACATTCCAGAAATCTTTGTTATTAATTTCAAGTTTAATTCTCTTAGCATCAGAGAACATACTTTGAATTATTACAGTCCTGTTAAGATTATTGAAACATATTTTATGGTCCCGAATTTGATCTGTTTTGAATAAGGTTCCATGTGCACTTGAAGAGAAACCTACACTGTTTTGTAGACATCATTTAAAAAAATTTTTTTTAAATCTTTATTTATTTTTGAGAGAGAGAGAGAGAGAGTGCAGGTGGGGGAGGAACAGAGAGAGACACACACACACACACACACACGCACACACATACAGTATCTGAAGCAGGCTCCAGGCCCTGAGCTGTCAGCACAGTGCCCGACGCAGGACTCTTAACTCATGAACCGTGAGCTCACTACCTGATCTGAAGTCAGATGTTTAACTGAGTGAGCCACCCAGGTGCCCCTCTGTAGACATCATTTAAGTGAAGTCAGTTGATAATGTTGGTCAAGACTTTCGTGCTCTTACTGAATTGCTTTCTGTTCTGAGAATTACTGAGAGGAATGTTGATGTCTTCAGCTATAATTGTATATATGTCGGTGTCTTAATTCCATAGGAAATGTCCCTTTTTTTTGAAAAAATTTTTAATGTTTATTTTATTTTTGGAGGAGGGACAGAAAGAGCGTGAGCGGGGGCGGGGGGGCATAGAGAGTGGGGGACACAGAATCAGAACCAGGCTCCAAGCTCTGAGCTGTCAGCACAGGGCCCAACGTGGGGCTCAAACTCACGAGCTGTGGAGCCAAAGTCAGAAGCTTAACCGACTGAGCCACCCAGGTGCCCCATGAAATGTCCCTTTTTATCTCTGATAATATTCCTTGTTCAGAAATTGACTTTAATGTTTATGTGGCCTCTCTAGCTTTTGTTTTATTGCAAACATTTGCATGGTGTATGCGTCCCATTCTCTCACTTAACCTGCCTGTGTCTTTACATTTAGTGGATTTCTTGTAGATAGCACATAGTAGAATTTTCTTTTTTAATCCAGTCTGACCATCTAGATGTTAAGAGGATTTACATTTAATGCAGTTATTAAGATTATTGAGTTTAAATCTGTTTTCTTGATTGTGTTCTGTTTGTCTCATTTATTCCTTTTTTTTTTTTCCATTTCCCTGCCTTGTTTTCCATGGAGGGTTTTTGTTTTTGCTTTTTAATGACTCCATCTTATTTTCACAATTGGCTTTTAACTATCTCAATTTTTTCAGTGGTTATTCTAGGGTTTGCTATAGGTTACTTGCAGATAATTTTTAGTGATTGCCTGAAGGTTTATAATATTCACCTTTCACTCATCATAGTCTGCCTTCAAATAATATTCTACACTTCACATACAGTGAAGAAACATTATAGATTTTGTATTTCTGTTCCTTTATCCTTTATGCTGTTGTCATCACACATCCTGCTTCTACGTGATGTAAATCTCATTATATTTATTTTTGCTTTAAAAAGTCAGATATTTTAAGAAAGATTTTAAAATGAGAAAAATGGGCTCCTGGGTGGCTCAGTCAGTTAAGTGTCCGACTTGAGCTCAGGTCATGATCTGACAGTTCAGTTCTTGAGATCAAACCCCACAGTGAGCTCTCGGCTGTCAGCACCGAGCCTGCTTTTTGGATCCTCTGTCCCCCCCTCTCTCTCTGCCCCTCCCTCACTCGTGCTCTCTCTCTCTCAAAAATAAACATTAAAAATATGTTTTTAATAAAATGAGAAAATACTAACTTTTATATTTATTTACATACATATTTACCATTTCCAGTGCTCCTCATTTCTTTAGGTAGTTTCAAGTATCCATCTGATATCATTTTAACATTTCTTGTACCTCAGGTCTGCTGCCACAGAATTTTTGTTTTGGTTTGTCCTACCAATAAAGAAATAATTTATTTTGACTTTATCTTTGAGAGATAATTTTGCTGCATAAAAAATTCTACGCTGAGAATTTTTTTTGGTATAATTTAAAATTATTGGTCCATTTCTTCTGGCTTGCATAGCTTCTGCCGCAAAGTCAGCTGTCATTCTCTGTTACTCTTCAAAAGTCTTTTCTCTCTGGCTACTTTTAAGATTTTTCTTTTAATCACTGGTTTTTAGCACATTGATTGTTATGTGCCTTGATGTAATTTTCTTTGTTTCTTCTGCCTGGGGATTTAATGACCTCCTGGAACTGTGGATTTACAGTTTCCATCAAATTCAGAAAAATTTCAACCATTATGTCTTGAAATCATTGTTTTGTACCCCCGCCCTAGGATACTTCCGCTCTCACTGGTGGGAAGACACAATATTCCCAGGTCTGTGTGAGCTCCAGGAATTGTTCATCCTACTGCTTTTTGGTAGTTCTTTCCTAGAACGGTGGTTTCCTATCTAGGAAGTTTGCTCTCAACTTTGCACACATCACACTCAAACAGAGACTCGTGAGGAAGCTCCTGTGGCTTTTATAGACAGGTCCCCCACACCCTCTGTCTCTGTGTCTCTCCCTTCTTTGTGATATCCTGCCCCATAAATTCTAGCTACCTTGACTTTCCTGAACTCTGACCTCTTTCTCATCAGTTCGTTGAGAGTGCGGGACTCTGCTTGGATTTCCAGTGTCTGTTCTGCAGCCTGTAAGTTGTCTCCAGAAAGCCAGGCTGTTGGAAGTCTCTCCTGGTTTATGTCTCTTCTCTCAGGGATCATAGTCCTATACTGCTGGGTGCCTCATATCTGCATTGTTTCATGTGATTTTTTTTTTTTTTTTTTAATGTTCTGGTCAGTCTGTCTTAGTTTTCTTTGGAAGTGGAAACCCCTTCTGTGTACTGTATTTAAGAACTTCCCTTAACACTTTTGGAGACAGCCTGTTTGTGCACAGTAGTAGGAATGTAAATTGTCTCTCTCAGTTGCTTGATGGGTAGGTGGCCTAGTGCCATCTTTGTGCTCACCTGCCAGCTCGCCTTAGACCTGACGGCCGAGTTGAAGCCAGAGCGGTTTGTGTTTGGGGGCCCGCGGTTCTTCCTTCAGGACCGGTGTATTACGAGGGAAGAGACGTGGCTGCGGGAAGCACTTACGGGACTTCCGTGCCTTTCTCCCCCTGCCTGACCTTCCCCTTCAGTGAAGGACTACCAGCTGTCCCAGAAAGGTCCGGAGTGCAGCACGTCTCAGGCCCGGCTCAGCCAGTACTCCCAGCACTTCGCCTTTATCGCCAGTCACCTCCTGCAGACCAGCATGGAGAGCCACTGTCCTGAGGCGGTGGAGGCAACCTGGGTCCTGTCCCTGGCCCTCAAAGGATTATATAAAACCCTGAAGGTAATGGTGAGCTGCTCCCATTTGCTAATGAGTCTGGCTGTGATTTAACGTCTGCAGGGGATTTACATCAAGAAATGCCATGTGACGTGGATGGATGGTTAACCGTAGATGGGATCTTAATTATTTTCAGGAATGGTTGGGATCTCGCACAAGGATGACTCAAAGGAAGAAAACAGATTTTTCCCAGTAGTTGGTTCTTTGTATTTTTTCAGTACTGTTTCCCAGAACTGGGTATTTGCCTAATAGACACATAACCTTGGAAGATGGGAAGAAATTGGACCAAACAGCTTCTGTCTTCCCTCTAAACCACAGCTCCTCCAGCCCGTCAGAGGACGAGAGGAAGGGGAGAACCAGGAAGGCCAGCACCTACGGGACTTGGAGCGATCGGCTTGGAGGTTGGGGTGGGAGGAGGGAGGCACCCGAGGAGCTGGGTGGTAACGGGTGCAGACGAGAAGCCTTGACTTGAGGGGAACGTGGTTCTTTCGCTTCCTGAGGGGCCCTACCGGGGAAGGGATTGCTTTTAGGACCATCTTCCCCACAGAAGTAGCCACGAAAGAAGGGTTTCATTTTTAAGTTTGTGAGTCCCTAGACTTTGGCAGAACTGCCCAGGGGACCACAGAAGGACCCGGGCCCTGAGGGCGTTCCGGCTCCGGCCCAGGCCCGAGAGCTTCCAGGGAGGAGACAGGCTGTTGACTCCATGGCACTTACCACAGCGTGAAAGAGAAAATAAACTCCGTGAAGGCACAGACCATTTCTGTCTCTGGTTCCCTGTTTTCACAAGTGTTTGTTGAGCACCCGAGAGCCATGTAGCACTGAACTTGAGAGAAGGTGGGGCTTACAGCCCAGCCTGCAAGGGACACAGCACGGAGTCAGGAAAAGCCTTTCTGAGGAGGTGAGATTGGAGGAGGTAGAGAGGGGGTCTGGGCGGTGGTGTGTGCAGGGAGAGCTGGGGCACGGGCCCAGGAACAGGCGTGGCCGTCACCAGAGGCCGCGCCCCCAGGCCTGCAGGATCGGGCCCCATCCACCCCGGCTTTTTTGAGTCGGGACTTGGGTTTTAGTCTGAAGACACCAGGAAGCTTTGGGAAGGCAGAGCGCAGGGGAGGGCCGTGAAGCCCCTGCCCTTAGCGGAGGACGCGGCACACAGCGCGTCCCGGGCTTCGGAGGTGCTCGTGGAGGGCGAGCTGGAGAGAGAGTGGACAGACTGGTTAGGGCTGAGGATCGGAGCCTCATCCTTCCTGCCGACTCTGGAATTTTCCTGACGCGGTGCGCTCTGAAAGAGGCTGTCTCCTCCCTGCACACCAGCTGCAGGTCATTCCTCTTCTTTGGGCAGGCTCACGGTTTTGAAGAGACCCACGAGACCTTTCTTCAGACGGATTTGCTGAAGCTGCTGGTGAAAAAGTGCAGCAAAGGGACTGGTTTTAGTAAAACGTGGCTCCTCCGGGATCTAGAGGTAAGGGGTGGGCGTGGCTCCCGCCGCAGCCACCACCACCTGCAGTAGCAGGCTCAGGCTTCCCCCTGCGGGTGAAGACGGGGTGAAGACGGGGCGGCGGGGGCCGGGGCGGGGCAGGGGGGTAGCCCAGAGCATGCTCTTCAGTGCAGTGCTTTGAGTCTCTGTTGACACAGTGACTGTGACACTTCCCTCCCTGTCAGGGAGGGAGAGTTTGATGTCTGTTCGGAGAACACTGGAGAGTATTCTGTGGAAAGATGCGGTCGGCCGTTATATCGTGGCAATAAAGTGTTTCCTTGGATCATTATTTCCCTTTAAAGTCCCTTTGAGTTAAAATCAGTTTCTGAGTTTGTCCTCGGTTACATTTATTTTGTGTAGGATTTTAGTCGATGATTTTCATCTCATTACTAGTCCTTGTAGGCCTTAGATTTTTCTTAGCAGAATTACTGTGGAGTTTCTGGACCAACTGCTTCGGGTCCAGGAAAAGCTGCTGCTGTGTGGGAGGCCAGCCTTCTCCATCGACAGGCCCGAGCGTGAGGAGACGGCTCTCAGTGGCACAGGAGGGCTGCTTAGTTTGCAGGGACATGTGTCGAAGCATAGTAATGGGGGAAATCTGGAGAGCACCTGGGCTCTCGATCTGAGGAAGTGGTTTAAATTAAAAAGAATTTTGTTAATGCTTATTTGTTTTTGAGAGAGAAGCAGGCTCCAGGCTCTGAGCTGTCAGCGCAGAGCCTGACACGGGGCTTGAACTCACGAACATTGAGGTCATGACCTGAGCCGAAGTTGGATGCTTAACTGACTGAGCCACCCAGGTGCCCCTAAAATTTTTTTATTATTCAAATAAAGAACCGCATTGCAGAAAATTCGAACTGTAAGAAAGAAAAACTTCAAATTTCACCTCAGACGCACAGCTGCTGTTAGCATTTTATTTATGTCCTTATTCTAGTTGTTTTCTTCTGTGTCCGTGTTACACGTACAGCCTCAGACACAGAGAGTGCATGCCGTGGCCAGTCCCTCAGTCACTAGGCAGTTTTCCGTGTTTAATGGCTGTAAGGGACACATGAAGACAGGTTCCAGCTTCATTGACCATAACGTGAATGTAAGTTTTTACACATTTTACGTTATTCCTAAAAGGTGAGTTATTGGCTGGGTTAAAGGCAGTAGATATTCTTCTTCTAGGTCTTTACACGTCACCAAAATGAATTCCAGAGTGATACCAGTCTGCACTGTCAGGAGCAAAGCTAATAAACACAAAGATCCCTCCTAGTTTTAGTTAGCATTTCTTTGATTACAGGTACAACCGAACATGTTTTTATGTTTGTTTGTTTTTTTTACTCATTTTCATATTCTTTTGTGAATCTGTACATCTTTTAAAGAGGTCAGGGGCGCCTGGGTGGCTCAGTTGGCTAAGCGGCCGACTTCGGCTCAGGTCATGATCTCATGGTTCGTGGGTTTGAGCCCCGCGTCGTGCTCTGTGCTGACAGCTCAGAGCCTGGAGCCTGCTTCAGATTCTGCGTCTCCCTCTCTCTCTGCCCTTCCCCTGCTCACGCTCTGTCTCTGTCTCTCAAAAATAAATAAACTTTAAAAATAAAAAAAAAAGAGGTCAAATAATTTCTACCCTTTGAGGGTTAAAGATGTGGGTGACGTTCCCACCCATTGCACCCCCACACCGTTGCCCTGCCTGGTTTCCTGCCCCTAGATTTTGTCCATCATGCTCTACTCCTCAAAGAAGGAGATCCAGACCTCGGCCGAGCACACAACCCTGGAGCCAGATGAGCGAGGGGATCAAGGGGAGGAGGCGGAAGGCATGGTCAGCAGCCCTGGCGAGCCGGAGCAGAGGAAGCTAGATCCTCTGGAAAGCCTGGATGAGCCCACCAGAATATGTTTCTTGGTGAGTTCTGGGGCCGCGGTGCGGACGGCGGAGGGACTCCACAGGATGGGTTTCTCGCTGGCTTGCATCTTGTTTTCACCTCCGTGCGAAAATGCCTCTGTCTGACGTGCTGGGAGCCCCTTCCCGAAGACGCAGTTGGAATTGTGCATAATTGATCTGGACGAATGGAGAAGCCCTTACCATACTGGTTCTTAAGCTTTTGGGGTCTAAATGCTTTAGGTCGTCTCTCCTGTGAAATAGGGCTGTGCGGTCGTGCTCAGAGTCTGCAGCCCTTCCCTGGTGTCTCCCCGGCTTCTGAGAGGCACGCGCGCTCGTTCCCTGGGGAGGCGCTATCCCTCGGAGCAGCCACCGCAGGAGGAGCACACGGGGGGTTAGGGCCGGAGGTCGGGAAAGCAAGTTCAGTTTCCTCGGAAACCAAAAGGAAGTACAGCTTTGGACTTCCAGTGCCAGCGGTCAGACGGGCGCGAGGCAGCTGCAGAGAAGCCGGCAGGGACGCGGTGGCGGATGGCAGTTAGCACTGCTTTTGGGGGCCTGGTATATCTTTTGGTGTTTCCATGCTTTATGTTTTCCTTTGATTTTACAATAGCGGATTCCACAGTCCGTGTTTCAGAGTTTATAATTTTAAAGTGACCACACAATGGTCTTAACTTATAATCTGTGGTAACTTTAGAAAATAGTTATTTTATCCCTTTTGAATTCAGGCGATCCGCGGTGTGTTGAAACACTTTTAAATAGTCTCTCCTCCACTTCAGATGGCACACGATGCCCTCAATGCCCCTCTGCACATTCTGAGGGCCATATTTGAGCTGCAGATGAAGAGGACCGATTCTTTCTTCCTGGAGGTTCAGAAGAGGTGAGGACCCTGCCAGCAACACGTGGGTAAAAACTCCTGGGGGGCCATGACGTGGGGCCGGTGTGTGGTTCTTCGTGAGCGATGTGAAAGCTGACCGCCGCACGCAGGCATCCTCTGAGTGGTGGTGTGTCCCTTGTGGCTGCGGAAATCGAGACTGATGCCAAGGTTTCTCTCCTGTGTCGTCCTGGGACAAACACCGCTAAGCAGGGCCTTCTGGCCAGTGTGGTTTGCTTGTTCACTGCGGCATGTTACTTCCATGGCTTTCCCCCAGTGCTTATCGCACAGTTAATAATGCTCCCTTTCTCTTGCCAGGAAGTTCAGGGCTGGTGCTTGCGCCCAGCTCCCCCGAGTGTGTGCAGCTCACCTCCGCCTCTGTCCCTCATATCCTGGCTTTGACTTCCTATTCTAACTTACATTCAATTCCATCTTAACTTTCCTTTTACGTTTTCATCCTGTGTTTCTATTTCCCCGTACGTATTCCTCATATATTGCCTCAAGTCCTTTGTGAAAGGAAGCAGGGCACAGTCTCAGCTGTGGAACTAAGAAACCCAGAAACATCAGGTGAAGGAAGATTGGGTCTGTTTTTCCTCTGGTGGACAGTCCAGGGTGGGTAGGCAGCTCTGCCCCTTGGAGCGATCCGGTGCTACCAGATGGCTCAGCCATGCCACCTCTGTTCCCGCCCGGGGATGGGGGGGCGGAGAGGGGAGCCGAGAGAGGAGTGTGTCCGCAACGCAGGTGCTTGAGGGTGGGCTCCAGAAGCGGCCTGCCTTACGCCACTGGCCTCCCTGGGGAAGAGCCCGGCGGCACCACCACGTCTAGCTACAGGAGGGGCTGGGGACCACGTCGCCAGCCAGTGGCTGTGTATCTTGCTACAGCTTCAGGGAACTTTGTTTCCAGGATCAGGGGAGAGTGGGTCCTGAGGGAAGGCTTGCATTCTCTGCCACAAGTGTGTGCATGGGCGTCTGCGTGCCCGAGGGAACTGGCACGACACGCTGCGGGGGTGATGATGCAGTTGCAGAGTCACAGGAAAATAACTCCCGTCAGTGTCCCACTGCAGTTCTGTGCCCCGTGCCCCTTCTCCGCAGGTTTGATGGGGATGAGCTTACCACGGACGAAAGAATCCGGACCCTGGCTCAGAGGTGGCAGCCCAGTAGGAGCCTGAGGCTGGAGGAGCAGAGCGCCAAGGCCGTGGACACAGACATGATTATCTTACCGTGTCTGGTATGTCGCCTCCACCTTGGAAACTGAAGGTCTGCCCCTGAGCCCCGCCCCCCAGCCAGTTGGGAGGGGCGGGCCGCCGTAACGGTGGTCTTTGGGTTTGCAGTCCCGGCCCGCACGCTGTGACCAGGCCACTGCGGAGTCCAACCCCGTGACCCAGAAGCTGATCTCCAGCACGGAGAGCGAACTGCAGCAGAGCTAAGCCCAGCAGCGCCGGAGCAAGAGCGCCGCCCTCCTGCACAAGGAGCTGAGCTGCAAGAGCAAGAGGGCCATCCGCGAGTACCTCTTCCGCGTGAACGAGGCCACGGCCGTCCTGTATGCCCGCCACGTGCTGGCGTCCTTGCTCGCTGAGTGGCCCGAGCACGTGCCCGTGAGCGAGGACATCCTGGAGCTGAGCGGCCCGGCCCATATGACCTACATTTTGGATATGTTCATGCAGCTGGAAGAAAAGCATCAGTGGGAGAAGGTGATTGTTTACCAGGCCAGGCTGGGCACGCGCCTCTTCACGCCTCCTCTGCGCCCCCACGTTTGAACACACTTCCTCCGGATGCGGCACGGGCAGGCTGCGGGCACGGCTGGGCTCTCCCAAGTCCTGGCCCAGAGCGGAGCTCACAGCCTTGGCACACGTGGTGTGCACAGAGCGCTCGACCTGCCGATCCCATGGAGCCTGACTCCGTACACCCCCCCCGGCCCATTTCTTCTCCGGGTGCCGGGTCCGAGGGGAAGGGTGAATTACGGCCACTGGTCTCTTCGTGGTACAGGGCGCCTCCAGGGTGGTTTGCGTCTTGTTCCTGGAACGTCAGCCCTCAGAAGTGGTGTTTTCCAGAAGGAAAACGCATCCCGGTCTACAGCAAGGGCGCCCTCCCCCCCCCCCCACCAGGGAGTGGCTGCTGGTGGGGTGATGCCACCCCCTCTGGATGGGCCCTGGGTGGGAATGGGCTCCTCCTCCTCTCTGCCGCTGGCACGCCCTGACGCTGCTGCTTCGTGTCCCACCAGATCCTGCGCAAGGTGCTCCAGGGCTGCCGAGGGAGCATGCTGGGGACCATGGCCCTGGCCGCCTGCCAGTTCATGGAGGAGCCTGGGATGGAGGTGCAAGTGAGGGAGTCCAAACACCCGTACAACAATAACACGAACTTTGAGGTACGCTCTAGGACGTGTGGCTGGCAGGACCCGCGAGGGTCGTCCCTTTCCCTCCCGCGGTCCTGGCCTAGAGGGCGCCTCCTTGGTCCCAGGACAGGGAGCCTCCACAGCCCCGTCTTTTTTCCTCTGACTGTATTTTAATAGGAATAGTGGGCCCCCAGGCGCCTGGGTGGGGGGAGTTCACGTTTCCTGCAGCAAGCTCCTTGCAGGGAAGCCTCGACATCTTCTGGCAGTGCGCCAGAGCGGGGCCCTGGCTCCAGCCCTCACCGCACCATCTCCTGATGACATGGCCACACCTCGGAGACCCCTGTCCTTCATTTAATTCCTGTGCGCGAGCTCTCGTCCCCCTAGACGGAGGGCTCAGGGAGGGCAGGGCTGACACCCTCTCACATTTGCCGGATGCGGCAGGAGGCAAGCCCAGGGAATGACGGGTGTCTTTGTGTCCCTCCCCAGGATAAAGTCCACATCCCTGGTGCAATCTACCTCTCCGTCAAATTCGACGCGCAGTGCAGCACAGAGGAGGGCTGCGACGAGCTCGCCATGTCCAGCAGCAGTGACTTCCAGCAGGATCGACACACTTTCAGTGGGTCTCAGCAGAAATGGAAGGATTTTGAGCTTCCAGGTAATAAATATTTGGTCGTCCCAACTCTTAACGTGAAGTATTTAAACTCGAAAATGAGGGGTGCCTGAGGGGCTCAGTCAGTTAAGCGTCCGACTTCGGCTCAGGTCATGATCTCACGGTCTGTGGGTTTGAGCCCCGCGTCCGGCTCTGGGCTGACAGCTCGGAGCCTGGAGCTGCTTCGATCCTCTGCCCCTCCCCTGCTCGTGCTGTGTCTCTCTCTCACAAATAAATAAATAAGTAAATAAATAAATAAACAAACTCAATACTGAGAGAAGGGGCTCAGAGGGATGCCATACAGGGCTTAGTCTGTTTTATCAGGAGCATCTCGCTTGCCATTCCCCGTCGCTGCAGTGTCGTGACCTGTGTCTGGTTTTTATGTGACCCAGGAGACACCCTGTATTACCGCTTCACTTCCGACATGAGCAACACTGAATGGGGCTATAAATTCACCGTGACGGCTGGACACCTCGGGCGATTCCAGACAGGTGTGTGCCCTGGTCTTTCCATGCGTAAGATGGCCTGCTGGGGACACTCGGGCATGGGGTAGGAGCCTTTGTGTCACGGATCGTTGTTAAAGTCAGAGCAGGTGCTTTTCTCTGATGCTTACACACGGTCGCTGTGCTATGCTCTGGTGGCTGGTTGTACACTTGCATGGACAGGGAGAAGAGCCACCCATGGGCACCTACAAAAGACATGTTTCTTGGAATTCGCAGGGCGTTTTGCAAAAGTGAGGAGCTGAAAACGTTCCTAGGGTTGCTTTTAAAAAGGCAAAGTTTTAAATGATCATAACTGTTTTCTTGTATACATTAAAACTTGTGGGGCGCCTGGGTGGCTCAGCCGGTTAAGCGTCCGACTTGGGCTCAGGTCACGATCTCACAGCTCATGGGTTCGAGCCCCGCGTCGGGCTCTGTGCTGACAGCTCAGAGCCTGGAGCCTGTTTCAGATTCTGTGTCTCCCTCTCTGATCGTCCCCTGCTCATGCTGTCTCTTTCTCTCAGAAATAAATAAAAAACATTAAAAATTTTTTTTTAATTTAAAACTTGAGCAGTTAATATTTTTAAAATATTGGTGTTTTGTGGGTGTGGACCAGGGTTCGAGATTTTGAAGCAGATGTTGTCAGAAGAAAGAGTTGTGCCCCACCTCCCACTGTCCCAGATCTGGGAATGGCTGGTGGGTGTGGCTTGTCGCCAGACCGGCCATCAGCGGTTAAAAGCCATCCACCTGCTTCTGAGGATTGTCCGCTGCTGCACCCACAGGTGAGCCACCCTCCGTGCGAGAGTCCTTCGCGGGGAGTTTGTGAACAGCTAGGAATGTCTCCTCCCCCTCTGGCTCGCCATTTGTCCGCACTGGTGTCTGGTGAAAAGAGGTTTCTAATTTTCACATCTTCCCGCTCATCAGTCATATTTTATGTTAGTGCTTTTGTTGTTCTGCTGAGGCAGTTTTCGCCTTACTCCACCTTGGGCTCGTGAAGGTACTTCCTGTGTTCTAGAAGCTTTTGTTTTTTTTTTTTTCTTCCACTTCTAGCTCTGCGTTCCACATGGAATGATTTCTGTGCATGATGTGAAGTGCAGGGGTCAGAGGTCAGGGTTAGTTATGTGAACACGAGTCTCCACCTGTCCCTCGCCTCACTCCAGCACCATGTTGGTCACAAAGGAGGTGTCTGCACAGACGCATCTGTGTCTGGTCTCTCCTGTTCCAAGGTTTTTGTGTTTCTCCTGGTGCCAGTACCGCACTGTCTGAAGTATCGCTGCTTTCTAACAAACACACATCTGTAGTCCTGTAGATCCTTTGTTCTTCAGCTTCGAGGCTGTCTTGTCCTTCTGACTCTGCATCTCCGCCTGCGTCTTAGAATTGGTTTGTTTCTCTCTTTTCCCAGCTTCAGGGAGGTGTAATTGACAAAACTGTAACGTATATACAGGCTAGAAGGTGGTGGTTTCGTGTGTGTCCACGTTGTGAAAGGGCCCCTTGACATCAACTCCCTTGAATGCACCCAGCACCTCATGTTACCTTTCTCGCATGTGACGGCACTGACGTTCGCCTCGCCACAGTCCAGTACCGCACTCTGTCATCACCTCCGTCTCCGTTAGATCCTCAGACCTTACTCATCTTACAGCTGAAAGTTTGTCCCTTTGACCAGCCTCTCCACTTCCCACACCCGCAGCCTCCGGCAAGTACCATTCCACCCTCTGTGTCCATGAGTTTGACTGTTTCTTTGTGTGGTTTTGTTTCCACATACAAGTGAGGTCATGCAGGGTTTGTCTTTCTCTGGCTTATTTCACTCGGCATAATGCCCCCCAGGTCCACCCAGTTATCCCCAACGGTGGGACTTGCTTCTGTCTCATGACTTTCCTTCTTTCACAGGCTCCGTTGTGTATATGTGTATATATGCACCACATTTGCTTTCTCCACTCCTCCATCAATAAGATACTTAGTTTGTTTCTGTACCTTGACTATTGTGAATAACGGTGCAATGAACATTTGAGTGCAGATATTGTTTTGAGATAAAAATGTCATTTCCTTCGGATATAAACCCAGTAGTGGGACTGTTGGATCATACTGTCGTTCTGCTTTTAATTACTCGAGGAATACTGTGTCCACACTGTGTCCCCAGTGGCTGCACCAGTTTGCATTCCCACCAGCAGTGCACGAGGGCCCCCCTTCCCCACGTCCTCGCCAGCACCCGTTACCTCCTGTCTTTAGATACCAGCCACCCTCACACATGTGAGGTGACAGTGTGGTTTTGACTGGCATTTCCCTGATGCTGAGTGCTGTTGAGCATCTTTCCATGTTAGCCATATGGGTGTCTTCTTTGGGAGAATATCTGTTCAGGTCCTTTGACCATTTTTAATTGGGTTTTTTTGAAATGGAGATGTAGAAGTTCCTCGTATATTTTGGGTATTAAGCCCTTACTGGATGTGTGGTTTACAACTACTTTTTCCCATTCCCCGGATGCCTTTTCATTTGTGAGTGGTCTTCTTTACTGTGCAGAAGCCTTATGGTTTGATGTAGTTCCTTCCACTTGTTTATTTTTGCTTTTGGTGTCAAATCCAAAAAAAGCATTGCCAAGACCAATGTCAAGGAGCTTACGCATATGTGTTCTTGTAGGAGTTTTGTAGTTGGTGGTCTTACATTCAGGTCCTTAACCTATTTTGAGTTAATTTTTGTGCATAGTATAAGAGAAGGATGCAGTTTTTGTGCTTTTGCACGTGGCTGTCCAGTTTGCCTGACAACACTTGTTGAGGAGACTGTCATTGCATATTCCTGGCATCTTGGTCAATTAATTGAGTGTCTGTGCCTGGATTTATTTCTGGGCTCTCTGTTCGTTGACTGTTATGTCTGTCTTACTCCCGTACTGTACCGTGTGCGTGACCACAGTTCCTGGTTACGTTTGAGAGCGGGGTGTGCGGTGCCTCCAGTTTTGCTCTTTCTTGAGACTGATTTGGTTATTTGGGGTCTTTCGTATTCCTGATGGATTTTAGGACATTTCGTTAGCTATGACCTCTCCTAGAGTTTTTATTATTTCTGTGAAAATGCCGTTGGGATGTTGGTAGGGACTACATGGAATCGGTACGTTGCTTCAGGCAGTGTGGACATTTTAACAGTGTTCTTCTGCTCCTTGTACGTGGAACATCCTTTCTGCTTGTTTGTGTCTTCAGTTCTGTTCATCAGTGCTTTACAGTTTCCAGTGTACAGATTGTTGACCTCCTTTGTTGAAAACGTATTTCTAAGTATTTTATTCTGTTTTATCCTGTTACAAATGGGATTACTTATTTAGTTTCTCTTTCCGATAGGTTGTCATTACTGTATAACAATGCAGCTGGAGGCGCCTGGGTGGCGCAGTCAGTTGAGCGTCCGACTCTTGATCTCCGCTCAGGTCATGATCTCAGCATTGTGAGTTCAAGCCCCGTGTTGGACTCCTCGCTGGCTGTGAAACCTAGTTTTAAAAAAAGAAGAGAAGGCAGCTGAATTTTCTGTGTTGATTTTGTGCCCTGTGACTTTACTGAATTTATGTGTTTTAATAGTTTTTCTGTGGAGGTTTTGGTGTTTTCTATAGAAAACAGACATTTCTACGTCTTCTTTTCTAGTGTAGATGCCTTTTATTTCTTCTTCTTGCCTAAATGTTCCAGCTAGAACTTCCAGGACCTTGTATTGTTCCAAATCCACTTGTATATTTCTGTTCACGAAACTCACATGCACACACCCGCTCCCACCTTACGGAGTTTGGACTGACTTCAGAGCACTGAACCCTCTAGTCCACAGCTGTTACATGTTGATTCCCTTTCTCTGCGATTCTGACCTATGCTCAGGTCTGAGTGATGTTTTACAGGTTTCTACGTAGAGGATTTCCATTAAATTAGATTTATCTAATGTTTTTATGATACTGTAATTGGTGTCGTAGAATTCTCATTCTTACTTGTTTCTGCTCATGTGTAAATAACTTCCGTGTATCTCTCTTGTCTCTAATGACCGTGCTCTGTTGGGTAACTTCGAGAGCACATGTGTGCATTATTCAGAGCACAGTCACGCCATCTACAAATAACCAGTTTTCGTTCTTCCTCTTGGTCCTTAGAAGCTTTTTCTTTCTTTTTTTCATTAGCTGTGGCCTCTCCTAGAGTACTGAGTAGAAGTGGGCGTTAAAGACTGTCTTGTCCCTCATCTTGGAGGGCAGTGTCAGTGACGTGTCACCTGTGTCCCTCACGCTCAGTGTCAGTGACGTGTCACCTGTGTGCCTCACGCTCAGTGTCAGTGACGTGTCACCTGTGTGCCTCACGCTCAGTGTCAGTGTGCCTCCCTAGCAGTTTCCAGGCACACTGACACAGGATGCCGGTCAGAGTGGAGAGACGAAATTCAACATAGCACGTCATCTTCTGGGGCGATACGGAGCTGTTACTTAAAAATAAAGGGAAAGAGAGAGGTGGCACATTGAGTCCGTCTGCGTGCACGCCGGCAGAGGAGGGAGAGAGAAAGCCAGCCGTGACAGCGGTCAGCGCCGGGTCCTCATGTGCAACAAAGGCCCCTTAGCCCACAAGAGCTCCCATCTGCCCTGTTGAGAGCAGCCTGCAGTGAGAACCGCGTGGCTGATCTATGGCATGAAACTGTCTGGACGGCCAGACCCTTCCCGACTGCACATGATGCGCTCCTGCGCTTTACCGACCTTCCTCAGTCCTCTCTTCGGTCCTGGGGCGAGACGGGCCGGGCAGAGGGGATGGGCAGCCCCCGGGGAGGGGTGGCTGCCACATGCCACATGAGGCACGGATTAGCCACACAAGAGCGCTTTCCTAAAAGCTTGGCTGTAGAGCTGTCTCTCTAAATCTAGCCACATTTTCCTGGTGCTTTTGGAAAACTCCCTCTTCTGGGAAAAAAATTATTGTCTCCAAGAATAAATGCAGAGAATACTTCTTAAGGTCATACATTGAAGAGAAAAAGCAAAATTTAAGATTATAAATGTATAAAGTCATGTTGTAATGTTCAGAATGTCATTTCCTGAGTTTTCTCCTTATAAGGATGTTGAACTGGAATTAAAGCACATCCTCCCTCGGAGTGAAACGGAGGCCTATCCAGTAGAAAAGGGTTTCCTTTACTGGGAAAGGTTTCGGGCCCGAGCGACCTCACAAGCACATTTTTTGTGTTTCATGAACTAAGATTATAATAATGGTTGTGATTGCCTTTTAATTTCCTTTTTTTCCTGATTGTTAAATCAACGAGCGGTGCAGAAGATCCAGAAAACGGATAACTACTGATAACGTGTTTAATATATTTGTTCACTGTTGTTTTTAATGCGGGTAAACAATACTGTATCTGCAGTTTTATGCCTGCTTTTTTCCATGTAACACTTACCTCAAGATTTTTCCACCATCACGGAGGTTCTTCCTAACAACCGTTCAGAGACACACAGCTGACTTACGGGCCTGGGCTTTGGGGTCCCCTGCACCCTTGGAGCCCTGTTCCGAAGCTTGGGTTCTGCCCCTTTCCCTGTTTGCCGCCGGCGAGTCTTTTTGGCCATTTGGGGGGAGAGTAATGACTTTACTGGGTGTTGGGGGGGAGTCAGCCGGCGTCGGTCTCACGTCTGACCCCCGCCCACAGCGACCTCTGTGACCTCGCGCTGCTGAAGCCCCTGTGGCAGCTGTTCACCCAGATGGAGTACAGCCTGTTGGAGGACGTGACACAGCCTGGCATCCTCCTCCCCCTGCACCGCGCCCTCACCGAGCTCTTCTTCGTCACTGAGAACCGCGCCGAGGTGAGCGCCCGCTGTAGCTCCCCCGCTGCCCGGGCTGAGGGCCGAGCCCTGGGGTGGCGCCCGGGACGCAGCAGAGCTGCACAGGGGGCAGGCGTGACCCGCAGTGGGAGGCCTCACCTCTGCCCGGAACGCTCTTATGTTCAGCCTAAAGCCACAGGGGAAGAGCTTGACAGTAGTGACTTCTGGAAGATAAAACGGACGGGTTCCTTTTCCTCCTCCTACTTCCCGTGAGCACAGTAGGCTTGTTGCACATGTGAGATGAAAGGGTCTTTCCCAGTTCTTCAGCTTACCCCTCAGTTTTTACGTGAGGAAACCAATCGGAGCACCCTGTGGGTGAGTCAGGGCAGAGCCTACCCCTCCCCCCGCCTCCCCCGGAACCGGGCACCCGGCTGCTCGCGGTCCAGCTCCTCCCGTGACTCTAAGTGAGGTCATGCTGTGAGGTGCCCACAGAGCCAGCAGCGATCACCCTTGCGTGACTGCCATGGGGACGGGAGGGTGTCCCCCGAGCGGTGTCCCCTCCAGCCGCGCCCGTGCTCTCTCCACAGGAGCTGGGGCTGCTGCGGGAGTACCTGCTGGCCTTAACCACCGATGACTACCTTCTCCGCTGTGCGGCGCAGGTACTGCCCCCCCCCCCCCCACCAGTGCTGGCTGCTGCGGCTGCCTCCTCGTGGCCGGACGGCCCCATCACCAGGGGCAGAAACCCCCGGCTCCAACTGGGGCTCTGTCCCAACCCCATCGCCCACTTGCAGTGTCCGAGAAGGAAGTGAGCCCATTTGTCAGTGTCATTCATGCTCAGCTGTGTTTTGTGTCTTTGAAACCAAAATACCCAATGCCTTAAATTGACAGTTTGGCCATAGTTTCCATAGAGTTAGATTTCAGATAATTTTGGATGTAACCTTTTTCCCTGGTAGGAGAACCTCTGACAGTTAGTTTGGTCCCAGAGCCCTTTTTTACTTTTCAATTATTGAGGATCCTAAAAAGGTTTCATTCGTGTGTTACCCATATCGATAGATACCGTCAGAAATTAGGTTTTAAACTTAGAAATTAAAACACTTACGTACTTCATTATCACTTCATTTTAAGAAATAGTAAACTGACTCCACGTTAACATGAGTAACGTGTTAACTCTGAAAGACAGCTGTGCGTTCCCGGACAAAATCAGCCCCGAGGCGGCGGCCGTGCTCCGCGCCCGCCGGACCCGTGTCCTGCGCTGCAGCTGTGCGGGCGCGCCGGCCCCCGGGGAGCTCCCACGGGCTCCGGAGCGCCAGCGCGAGCGCGGCAGAGGCACACGATGTCTCAGCGTTCCTGTGACGTGGTGCTCACTGTGCAGGGCCCCGGAGAGGGTCTCGGGGACCCCCAGGCCCAGACCACAGACCCCTTGAATACCCTAGAGCCTGTGGTCCAGCCCTGCAGCGGACACAGAGGGGCACTGAGGCTGAGAGCAGGGGAGGTCTGCCCAGGGTCCAGCCAGAGCCCTAGTCTGTTCCCGCAAGTCTGCTCGGCGAGCACGTGGTCCCCTCACAGGAAAGGGTCCTGCCTGCGGAGAAGCAGGATCCCCCCATCTATACAGATTCTCCTAAGGCCCGTCGGCAGCGTAGAACCTCCCTCCCTCCTAACAGATACCTGCCCCCGCCGCCCCGCTACCCCTGCTTCCATGATACACAGCAAAACGTGGAGACTAGACCGTATGGCACCTAGCGCTCCACATTGTATATTCCTGTGGGCTCCTCCCTCTGGCCCATCCAGTGCCCAGTGTCGCCCTCATTCTGACCCTCCCCACCGCCCACCCACTGTGCTGGACCAGGGCTCTGCCTCGTCCTCCCCAGCCGCCTCCCGCTCCCGCTGCACTGAGTTTGCACCGCGGCCTCCGCCTGGCTCCAGGGCGTCCTCCTTCCTGGCACGCACCCTTCCAACACTGTGGCCCAGACCGCCTATTTGCTTATTCCCTTCCGCACCTTTGTGCCCTCCTCCCCTTTCCCTAAAGAGCTTGCCTGGACACCCCGTGGGCAGCGTCCCCTGGGTCCACGGAGCCCACCAGCATTCCACCTGCCCCTCTCTCGGGGCGGTGTTGCTGTCTCTCCCCTATGTTCGGAGCCCTCGTGTGGCCTGGAGGGAATCTGCCTCTCTCTCCTCTAGGCTCTGCTGCTCCGGGTGAGGGGAGTCGCATCTGCTTGTGTCTCCCTCGCCCCAACCCCGCCCCCATGCTCAGCTGAGGGTCTTGTTCAGTCCACACATGACAAATGAGCGATTGAATGGTTCTTGACATTGGCAGTGACCCTTTCTCCCTCCACAGGCTCTACAGAACATTGCTGCTATCAGCCTGGCCATCAACTACCCAAACAAGGCAACTCGCCTCTGGAATGTCAAGTGTTAACCCTTGGTATGGTGTGCATGGAACTAGCTAATCTGTCCCCACGGGTTTTAGAGCAGACATCTAAACTCATTCAGGGAAATGCCCGTGCTGTCAGTGTCCGGCTCCCCTTGAGCTCTCCCTTCCTCGCCAGGTAGAATGCCAATAGCCACGCCTCCAAGAACTTGCCACGTCACAAGCTAGACGCCTGCACACCCCATAGCATGTGAGAATGAGCTGTCACTCAGAATTACTCAGGAGGGCAGGCGGGGGCCCTTGAGAAGGTTGTTCAGAGAGCAGCCTGGAAAGGGTTCCGTCTCCGTTGAGCCGGAGCCATCTGGGGAAGGTGGCGTTCGCCCAGAGCCGTCTCCCTCAGCAAGACCTCCAGCAGCGGCGGCCTGGCCTGGGTGCTCTCCTTTTGCTCTTGCTTCTTGAGACTGGGCAGCCCAAACCAAAGCTGATGAGCGCCCATCCCGGCCACCACCTGGTCCCCAAGCCTTCACGCAGCTGCCCCGCAGAAGTCGTCGGTGAGAAAAGTGCCCTTGGAAACGGCCAGCAGGCCGCCCGTGCGCATCACTCGTGCACCGGCTCCCAGCACGTCTGCGTCGAGTTGTTTTAACCTATTCCAGTTTCCACCTCGTGTTTTTAGAGCAGAACCACATGACTCCCTTGCAAGGCCTCAGGAGGGGCCAGCGCGACAGCCATGCAGGGGACACGCTGTTTGTGAAAGCACAGGACTTGAGGAATTCTCTGTAGCTTCTGTACTGAAAGACTTGAAGTGTTACCAGATGAGGTCTTATTTTAGAAGTAAAAAAACCCCCAAAACTGAAAACCAAACAAACAAAAGATACATGATTTTATTTCTTCTCTGTGGTCACGGGCAGCCCCTCACGGCCACCCCAGGGCTCCGGCTGCTTCTTCAGCTGCCCTTTGTATGGCAGTAAGTGCACTAGGTCTCGCGAATGCTGTTTTCCATTTTTCTTTTCCTGATCACAGTCTTGCCTGAAGTGCTGACAGTTATCCTCTTTCCAAAGCCTTGCTTTGGAATGTGAGGCAGGGTGGGCTGTGGGCTGTGCGCTAGGCCCGGGGAAGAGCGTTTGGGGCCTCTGCCATTTCAAGGCAGGCATCTGGGCCTGAGCTTGCCCGAGTGGAGCAGCTCAACACTCTCGTGGCCTGCGGGGGTCTGGGTTGGAAGGGCCCAAGGGTGCAGGTCCCAGGAACGTCTTCCTCGCAGAAGCACTTTTTCCTTCTGGGTCAGGAGGCCAAGACGCAGCAGCCTCGTGTGGCCTTAGAGTTGGAGTCTCAGTCCAGCCCCAGGCTACACATTGAGCCGCCGTGTGGGGCACAGTTCAGAGGAGGTGGAAACCCAGAGGAGGGTACCTCAGGCCCGGGGCCCGGGGCTCAGCCTGGCCCCCATGGGATTGGGATGCAGTAACCAGGCACTGCAGCTCGGTGGAAATGCTCTCAGCTTTCAGAGAAGGCCCCACGCTCCATTACCACACAGGCCCAGGCCAATCTCGCAGTGTAGACAGGGGCCTGGAAGACGAATGAGACGGTGTGCTTGCCGCTTCGCCTCGCTGCCATCCATGACCCTTGTGCCCCAGACTGACCGACCAAAGCAGGACAGACGGCAGGGCAGGCTCACACCTCTTGCGGCGGTCACCACCATGTTCCCCGTCCGGCCCAGACGCCCAGTTGTGGTAAATGCCGGCCTCTCCTCTGCCGCTGTCTTACCCCGTCCTTGCTGCTCTGGTCTCTCCGACTTTGCACAGAGCAAGCCCAGGGTCTGCTTCGCACACAGCCGTTGCTCTCCCCCGCTCACCCCTGCGGCCCCGCCACCCCGCATCCCGCCCAGCTGGGCTCCTCGTCCCCATGGGCCCGCAGTGTCTGGAAGAACGGATGCCACCAAGACCAGCCTCCCTGATCCTTCTCGGAGGCAGAACTGCCAGGCAGGAGATAAAACCGGCAGGAATAAAGGTGTCGTGGAAACATGTGCCTGATTTATAAAGAGATTCTGACCCAAATCCTATATATTGTACAAACAGACACTGTTCCTAATGGGAGGAGTGACTTATTTTCATCATCGTTTTTAATTTGTTTTCTTACGGGTTTACGATTTTGAATTTTTCTTATTTGTTTGAAAGAAAGAATTTTGATTATATCAAGCTGAGTGATTTCAGCCTGTAAAAAGGATGTTAAGTTGTGGGTAAAATATGCAAATGAAGATAAATATATTGTACAAATTCTATATAAAAAAGTGCAACTGTGTGTGGGGTTTTTCTTCCTTCTGTCTCTCTTGTGAGGATCATACTTGCAGCTGCTGCCAAGCCCAAAGGGTTGAGGAGCCAGAAGGCGTGAGCAGTAAGCCCGCCGCCCCCACGAAGGGGGGACGCAGAGCCGCAGCACAGTCAAGGGAGGCCCTGACCCGCCTTCTCACAAGGGCGGGGTCCGCGGTTCCAGCGGACGCTTTATCCCCTAGCGCTCAAGTCCCTCCCCTGATTCCTCATTGGCTGAGTGCTCCGGAAGTTCCGGCCTCACCCCGACGTCACCTGTGCCCCTGGAAGACCGAAAGTAGCGTGATTAGAACAAGCGTACGTTCCCGGAAGTGACGCAGAGACCCGTTCTGTGGCGCATGCGCATTGCAAAGCCTTTGAAAAGCCCGCGAGACGGAGTGGGGGCGGGAGGGACATGAACCAGGAAGTGAGGTGTCTAAGGGTTCGGGACTCCGTTGTGAGCTGGCGTGGTCAGTACAGATGTCCAACAGGCTGTAACTGCTGTGAACCAGATAGCACAGCTTCTATTTGGTATTCCTGAAAATGAGTCATCTCCCTCCTCACAACCCCTCCTCTTGTAGGTGGATTCCATTGTCCTTTGTATTTCCTTTATTTCTGAGCTTGCTCCAACATGTTCGGAAGGGTGGGCTTTCCTCCTTACGGTTATGTGTATCTTCCAATAATAATAGATTATTTGGGACTTAAGGCTCGGACATGTTTCTTAAGAAGGACCCTAACGCCCAGGCAGGTTTGCTGTGGTCAGATGCTCCCAGCCTTTTTCCAAAATATGTGTTGTGTTTCCCCACCCGGGGATCCCGGGTCCTGACCTTTCCCTCTCTGCCTGCTGAGTCCCATCTGGGGGCCACCAAGTCCATGTCCTCACCGCTGTCCTGCCCCTTCCCCCAAAGCACCAGAGCAGACGGTGGTTGTTTTCTCCCTCGCCGCTTATACACATACCTCTTCCCTCACTGGTGCCTCACTCGGCAGGTGGTAAATGACACCCCTGTGCCCTGTCACATGAGCCTCTGGGGACGGGGACGTGCAGCAGCTGTAAGGAGGACAGCACAGCTTTTGGAGGCTCTGGGTAGGACCTGGTGAAGCAGCTGTGGTAAGAGGGATGTGCCAAGAACCTCACACAAGACCCCACCTGACTCCTTCCTTCCTCCGCCCACCCAGAGCCCTTGTGAGCAGCCACCATGACCATCACCTTTGTCCATCAATGAATCTCGTCCACTGCTGAAACCTGCTCAGGCCTGTCCCTTTCTGCTTGGATGCTGTGGTGGCCTCCTCCGTGGTCTGCTTGCTGCCAGCATCTCTGCTCCACGCAGCGCAGCCAGGGTGGGCTTCCCGAGGCAGATCTGAGGGCACTGAGCATGACCTGGCTAACCCCCTACCCGCTCACTACTGCCAGGGAACAAGGTCCAAGACCCTCAGCGTGGGGGCCACCAGTGCCCCAGGCCCGTTTCTGTCTCCAGCTTCAAGGAACCGACTGCCCGCCCTTCTCCAGGCACCGTGTGCTGCCTTGGCTGGCCGTGGACCTCAGGCCAGTCCCCCCTGTCGCTGCACCCGACACCTCTGCCCCCAGGAAGTCCCCCTGCCGCTCCCCTGGCATCTCCATCACTCTGTCTGGGATCTTGTGTTAACATAGCACTCAGCACCAGGGAGCCTGGGAAGGTTCTGGGTGTAGTCATGTCCTATTGCTGCTCGAACAGGCTACCACTTTCATAGCAGCTTCAAAACTCCACGACCTTCTTTTCTCCCAGGTCTGTTGGTCACAAGCTTCAAATGAAGTCCCGCTGCACTAAAAATGATGGTGGCGGGGCGCCTGAGTGGCTCAGTCGGTTGGGCAGCCACCTTCAACTTCGGTCATGATCTTGCCATTCATGACTTGCAGCCCCACGTCGGGCCCTGTGCTGACAACTCAGAGCCGGGAGCCTGCCTCAGATTCTGTGTCACCCTGTCTCTTGGCCTCTCCCTCCTCTCTCTCTCTCTCTCCCTTCCTCAAAAATAATTAAGAAAAAACATTTAAAATTTTTTTTAAAATGAAGGTGTTGGCAAGGCCATGTTCTTTTCTCAAGGCCCTAGGGGGTGATTTATTTTCTGGCCTTTCCCTGATTCTGGAAGCCACCCGAATTTCTTGACTTGTGGCCTTTTCTCCTCTGAAGCCCATACCTGCAGGCAGAATGCTCACTGGGCCTCTCTTTCCCCTTCAGTCTCCCCTTCTGTTCTACAGGACCCTGGGACTATGTCGGGCACAGTAATGCCATCTGTGCACTTCCTTCCCCCTCACCACATGCAGGACCTACCCTCCCCCCACCCCGTTTGGGGATGAAGACGTGGGTATCTTGAGGAACCATTTTTACACCCATCACAATTTGTTATTCGACTTAATTTTTGCCAGCCTGGCATGCATGAAGTGGATCCTCTTAACTTGGATTTGCAGCAGGCATGTTTTGGGCTTTGAGGCAGCAATACCACACTCATAAGTGTTGTTGACGTTTGGGGCATCTTCCTGGCTTGGATCCCATGCAGGGGGAGTATGTGGGAAGAACACCAGATGTGTAGCTGAAAGCCCTGTGATTGAATTTGGACTGATAGCTGTGTGGCCACGGACGCACGCTTACTGAGTCTCTCTTGTACCCTCAGAGTGGTTTTAAGAAGTGTGTCTTTAACTGATTTAGCCAAACCAGGGAACACAGCAGGATCAAACTGGAGTCTTGTGAGTGAGATTGAGGGCAGACGGTCCCTGAGCTAAGCCATCGCACCTCTGAGAACCCCACAAAACCAATGCCCGGCCCTCTGCCTGGGCTTGGTGCTACCTTGATCCTCCGTGCAAAGGGACGACGTGCTGGAACCAGGCCAGTTACACATCACTAGTGTCCTCCACACAGCAGCCCCTTAGTCATTAGCCGGGGATAGATATTTTGTAGTCTGAACAGGGCTTTCATCCCAAGTATAGTTTCAAAGAGGCTTGCCTACCGCAGCCAAGCTCTACATAGAAATGGAATTCTGATGGCTTTTATTAGCTCCCCTCAGGTGGAAATCTGTGGCCTCTGTAAAGGCTGCCACGTGTGGTTGGGGAGCTGACCTGCAGCTCTAGGATGCCTTGTCAGTGTGACGGGTGGAAGACGGAATCCAAGCCCTGTTCCACTCACTGGCCAGTGCACGGGTGCACGGGGCTGCCTCTGCCCAGGGGAAGGAATCCTTCCTTCTCCTTTGCACAAAGGCATGTTATGGGCAACTGAATGTACAGTAACATGGCAATTCCCCGCCGCCCCCTCCAACTCCAGTCTCTGACAGAAACCTGGAAAGCAAGGGGCACCTGGGTGGCTCAGTCGGTTAAGCATGTGACTTTGGCTAAGATCATGATTTCACAGTTCATGGGTTCGAGCCCCGTGTCGGGCTCTGTGCTGACAGCTAGCTCAGAGCATGGAGCCTGCTTCAGATTCTGT